AAAGAGGGGATTTTTTTGGTTAGCTAACTTCAGGTTATAAAAAAGAGAACACCTCTCAGAAGCAAAAAGAAAGGAAGACGAACCAAGCCAAAAAATGAGTATTTTCTAAGAAAAAAAAAAGCTTTTGCTGTAACCCCCGCCGTTGCCAACTATCGCACCACCATAGCCCTTTTTTTTTTTACACTCAGTCACCAATCACTGCAAGTCCGGCTATTACTGTCATCGAGGAGAATTGCTGCAAGTGTCCATGGTAGAGGATTTCTGATGTTGCTCACTGCCACATAGACTCTGTCTACTCCACCGCCCATCATTGTACTTCATCGCCCAGAGCTTGCATATCACCTTGTTGTTACCATCGTGCAACCTTCACGCGACTTAAGGCTTGTGAGTTGTGCTGTGTTAAAATACCATTACTGCATCTCTTGTTGACTGACATAATCTTTTGAATCATATGACTGTTAGTGTTATCTTTTGGATCACATAGCTGTTAGACTATCATCTTTTGATTCCAACCGTATGCTAATGAGGATGTATGAGTTTTTTTTTTATCCATTCACTGCATATTGATGTCGGTGCATGACTTGTGGTCTGTGTCTTCTTGTTACTATTGTAATATGGGGTAGTTTCATTTAATGTGCTGAAGAAATGATTAAAATAATTTGGTCATATAACATTGCATTGGAGTTTCCCACAAAGCATTTTCGCCAACTAGTTGTATCATATAACGTATTCTTGCTTTTTTTTTGGAAAGGTATATTTTAATATTATTAGGTTAGCGAGTTCTAACTTTCCTTGGTCTGTGTACATTTTCTCTATATTTTAATATTTCCATACTTGCTATGCTGATGTACTTCTCGTGGAATAAATGTGTTAACATATCATATATTAGCAAACTTCATATATTCACGATGCAGTGTTGCAACCTTTAATATATTAATATTTTAACATTTGCAATGTTGATATCCACCTTTGATTCTTATAAAATGAATATTTTGGTAGATCTCGGGTACTCACAGTTTCAATGTTTACTATGAAGACAAATATTTTAGCAAACATAAGTTGTTGTCTCTAACCATGCACTTCACGGTCCAACGTCACTATCTTTAATTTATTTTTATTTTTAATTTCTTGTTCCTTTTAAAAGAAAAAACGTGATCTGAGTACTTTAGCTGATTCATTTTTAATTCACAGCCGTTTTATAACAACTAGTTCATTCTTCTTTATAATGAAGAACCTTATTTAATTCTTAAATGTGTTTGATTTTTAGAAAAATAAATCGTAAGTTATAGTAAAAAGGGTTTTAGCTGAGATGTGACATCTTGCTAATCTCATAGCTTTTTTTTTGAATCATTTCTATTGTGACAATATGATGATTTTAAAACGCTTAATAATAATAAATATTGATTTGAGGATAAATTTTAAAGATTAAATATTAATTTATCATTAAATAAAATGGGAGTCAACTGAGCCGTGACGACTTGTTAACCCGAAGCTTTTGTGTTTTGGGTCATTTTGGCTGAGACAGCTTGGTGATCTATAACTCGTAATAAAATTATAATATTAAAATCATTATATATGGATTAGCTGAGTTGAGACAGCTTGTTAATCCTGCGTCTCGTTCGGATCATTTTGGTTGGGAGAACCTGATAATCCGGGAACGTCGAATATAATCAAATGTTTTTTTTCAAAATTAAAATCAATCAACACACAAATATTCTAAAGAACGACGTAGCTTTGAATTCCTCACTGTACCGGAGGATACGTCGGAGCGGAACTCTTTCCGTCAAGCTAAAACAAAATTTTAATATTTTAGTCTTCTTACTTCCTAAATAATCATTTTTTTTAAGGGATAAAACAAATATTTTTAAAAGCTATTAATAATTCGCACAATTAATTTAAGGTAACCGTTTTTAAACGGATGTGTCCGGGGTGCAGTGGGATTAAATTCCCACCCTTCCTTACGCATAATTAGACTCCCGAACCTTGATTTTTATAGACCAGTTTGCAATGAAGGGTTTTCCAATTTTTCCAAAGTAAATAAAATTGGTGGCGACTCCATTTGTTTTAATTTTTAAATTTCTGGTCGTTACAGGATAAACCAGGGGATCATGGGTCACTTCACTGACTCGGTTTTATACTTTAAAAAAATTAATATATATGCTATATGAAAAATTCGAAAAAAAATCAAGCTACCAATCATTAAAGATTCAAAATATAGTTAACATAATTCAACCAATTACATCCACAAGTCAATATTTACAAGCTAAGCAAAGTGTATAACACATATTCCAATAGAGTTAATGAAAAGTTATATCATCAAAGTCAAATCCTTCTTGTCCTTCTAATGCACCTACAATAGTATGTGAAATGAGATCCCTTACTTAATAGAGAATAGCGGAGGAGAGGCAACGACACGACAAATTAACGGTGGGGAGAGAAGAACCAATACAGTTGAGGAGGTCACCGGATCAAGGAGACTAGGTCTAGGTCTGGGAGAGAAGATCAGAAGAGAAGAAGAAGAAGAACGATTTATATTTCAGATATAGTTCTAAATCTAAGCAACAACTAGTTTTTGTTTTGTTTTTTTATACATCAAACGATGTCATTTCGTGTATAATTTTTTTTTTTAAAAAAAAAGTATAATGACCCCTTTGACACGGGAGTCACTGGTTCAACCGGGGGGTTTCGAGGGTTAGAGGGGTCAACGTGCATATATGATCAAACTACTAACTCGAGCCCTCAAAGAGAGGGGGTCAGTGACCCGGCGGAGTTGACCCCGAGGTGGGCAGAGTTTTAAAACACTATTTTTTAGGCTTAATATGTTATTTTATATTTCATGAGGCCCGTTGACCAATTTGAGAAGTCTCATCTATAACCTAATGCAATTACTTGAAGTAATGGAGAGAGAAAAACAGGAAAGGGTTTCTTTATCCGGGATATGGTCCTAAATAAACAGGCATGAAAGCTATAATTGTAAACCACGATCAAATCTATGGAAGCATTGGTTTATACATTCCTATTAATCTCTACTTTAGGAATCATTTTTTTCGCTATCTTTTTTAGAGAACCCCCTAAAGTTCCAACTAAAAAGATGAAATGATTTTTTATTATCTTAATTGAAGTAAGGAGCCTCCCCTATCTTCTTCCGAAAGAAGATAATGTAATTTATAAAAACTTGTCAAAAAAATTTATAAACGGATCATTCCCTATTTAATTTATTTAAATTAAATTGTGATTGGTATAGTTATGATAACTCGAATAGCTTAAGATAAATACCTTAAGTAATGTAGTGTAAGTGTATTCCTTCATACCCAGAGTCACTAAAGAAAACGACCAGAGTTACTGTTGTAAAACTTCAAATACTGTTAGCCAGAGTTCCTATATATTGGTTATAGTTAGCTCTCTTATTAAGCTTCTCTTCAACATTGATTTCTGCTCTGTATGGTTATGGTTCCATGATTAACTTTCCGAATTAGACGGCACAAGCCACAAAATGTAAGAACCATTATTCTTAATAAAAAAAAAACTGTATTTATTTCATGAGGAATACATTTTTTACGTGACATGAAATAATTATCTTGTATACATCCAAAAAAGTGGGTGTCATTCACTAAAAAGAAAAAGAAAAAATAGTCTCACTCGCTTTTTGTGTTCACGAGACAACAGGACAAACTTGTATTCATAATTACAAAATACTCGATTTTACATTGGCAGAGTGTAATAACTGTGTGAACTTTTTCGTCAAAACATAATACAACCGATGAAAGTCAATTAAATTAATTTGATTTAGCGTTTATAATTTATTTTAGCAAATACATGTCAGTCTGTAATCTGTATTATTAAACCAGATTAGTTAAGTTAAAGTGAAAACGTAAATTATTATGGGTCTGTTAAATTCTATTCTGCTTTTTTTTTTTTAAAAATTGTTTCGTAGACTAGTCAATAAAATATGTATTTTTTATATTTTCTTTGTTTTGAAAGTTAAAAATAAAAACACAAAATAAAAACAACTGAAATTTATTTTCTAAATTTGATTCTAAAAACTAAAAAACAGTTACAATTTATAGAATTATTTTTATAAACAGATATTATCAAACATATTTTTTTTTAAATTTTTTATTCTGAAAATTTAACAAATATTTTTAAAAATAGAATTAAAAAATAATTTTAAAAACAGAATTCAAACGGGTCCTGTATCTCTGCTCCCTCCGTGATTGCGGCGTGCCTATCTTTCACTAATTTTGTGCATTTATCGACAGCTATAGTCTATAGCTACTGTAAAGATAAAAATTCCAACAAAATCTGTTGTTATTATCTTTGCCTATTTCTCATATTTAAAGTTTTTTATAAGACGCTACAACATGGAAAGAATATATTTATCACAAAAAATTTTTATCACACCTTTGCAACAAATTTAATCACCGTTGATTTTTGTCAATTTAATAGTTATATTTTATTGAAAATTATTTGGTCGCATTAATTAATTAATTATTAATTTTCAATAAATCTAATAAATTATAATTGTTAGATTGACGAAAATCAACAATGATTAAGTTAGTTGTAAACGTGGTAAATTTTTATGTTCTCCTTTCTCTTAATTTCTTCTTTTTTTTAATTTTTTATCTATCCATTAATTGTTTGAATTGTTTTTCACATCTTTTCTATAATTAAATTTTTTTCAATTGTTGGGCTCTATATTTTATGGATTTTATAAGAGTTATGTTGTAGGAAAAATGATTGTGTAATGTTATAGAGATTCGTTTTGAGTGCGGTGGATTTTTTTTTTGTTTCAAAAAGTGTGGGCCCATAAAATGTTGTGTGTGTAAGAAACTTTATTGTGTCATGTTAAATGGTAAATGCAAACCCCATATTTTATCACTTTAAAATGACCAGGACAAAATTAGATGCTTAAAACTAAAACCAAATCAAATTCATTCAGGTCCTAATTCTCTTTTTTGGTATTATTGCTGGTTTAAGATCCTCAAAATCATTGTCATAGATGAAATCAAGTGATGACACTTTAAAGTGAATGTAAGAAGTTGTTGAACAGCACAATTACGTGTCCCTAAAGCATCAAAGCAAATGAGAGGACAACCCAAAAGGAACACAGAGAGAAGAAAGATAAAACTGCTTAGAAAACCCATCTCACAAAGTGAATTTTATTTTTTCACACAATTCATCATACAATAAGGATCATATGCACTAGCAAATCCCAAATTCTATTTCTTGCCAATAGCAGCTCTCCATTTGATCTGAAGTAACTTGCCAAGCTCAATAAGCTTGTCAGTCTCAGGTATAAGCCCCTTCACAGCAGGGTCAGCAGCAAATCTCTCAGCCCATTTCACCAAAGAAGGAGCTTTTGCTTCAACTAGAAGTTTACTTCCATAGTACTCTTGCTCTATGACACTGAGCCATCCCAAGAAGCTCCCAAAAGCAATATCAAGGAACCCAATCCTATCTCCACCAAAAAAGGGCTTTCCTTTGCTGCATTCTCCAAAAGCACCCTCTATCCTCTCAAGCACTTCTTCCAACATCTCAAAGTATGGCTTCCTTTCCTCCTCTCCTTCAACAGTTATAATGTTTAGCATTGGAGGAAACCACTGCCCCATTTCCACACAAAATAAAAACCAAATCAAACCAATTTCAATTGCATAAACTCAAAAAAAATAAAATAATAATAATTAATTCTTTAGTTAATTGAAACCTCAATTTTTTTTATTGGACATCCTGTTTCAACATGAGATCATGTGAGTCAATCTGAGTCGTTCATGGATAAATCTAACAGTTCTGAAAAAATATTAGTATAAATGGCAAGAAAATGATAACCATTGCCCATGTGAAATGAGATTTTTATTTTTATTATTGTATGACAAGTTTCAAACTTAAAAATCACTCCCCGTTAAACTCGAGACTGTTTCCTAAATTTGAACACATGACCTTTCAGTCATGAAAAAATAGTTTTATCAATGCTCTGATTCGTCCCTGTAACAAGTTTCAAACTTAAATCAAATAAATTCATTTTAAACTTATATTAATGGCAAACACAAAAAATGAAATAGCAAAAAGAGAAGTCACCTTATCGTCTATGTAAGCAGCCCAGAACCTAGCAATTGCTCTATCATAAGAATCAGAGGGGAGGATAGAAGGACCAGTAGACCAAGTTTCATCTATGTATTCAACTATGACCAGAGACTCACAGATAGGTTTATCATGGTGGATGAGAACGGGGACTTTGCCATATACAGGGTTGGATTGAAGAAGAAGATCACTTTTGGGGACTAAGGTCATGGTCTCTTCAAAGTTTTCATATTTAAGAGATTTGATGTTGAGGGCAATCTTCACCCTCATCACATAAGGACTGGACCATTTACCAACAAGCTTCACCTCACTCTTCGCCATGGCTATCAAGGATGCTCTAACCAAAGTGTGTTAAATGATATTTATATCGTTTGTATCAATATATTCTCATTTTTTAAGCGATGAGCGGATGAAATATTAAAAAAAAAAAAAAAACCCAATTGACAGATGTTATAAATTGATAAATTAATATATAAATAATTTTACAAGATGCAAAGTACTTCTTGTCTACTCACAAAAAGTTAGTTGACACAATTTGGAGATGTTGCGCTTGGTAATTTAAAGAGTAAATATCTTTTTCGGTCTTCTGTAGATTTTATGATGTCCGCTTTAGTCCTAGCAAATAAAAAGATTATTCGTGGTCTTTAAAAAATTCAAAGTGGATCTATTTTAGTCTTTTTGAGGAATTAATATGAATCTTTTTTGAATTTATGAGGGATCACGATTTCAACTAAATGGATTCATTTTAAATTTCTTTAGAACCACGAATAATTTTTTTATTTGTTAGGAATTAAAACAGACATCGTTTGCTGAGGATTAAAAATAATATTTACTCTTTAAATTATCAACCGCAACATCTCCCTTTTAAAACTGTGTCAACTAACTTTTTGTGAGTAGACAAGAAGTACTTTGCATCTTGTAAAGTTATTTATATATTAATTTATCAATTTATAACATCTGTCCATTGGGTTTTTTTTTTAAAATATTTTATCGGTTTATCGCTTTACGATTATTTCAATTCAGAAGATTAAGATTATGTTTGATTATTGTTTTTAAAAATGGTTTTTTAGTTTTCAGAACAAAAAATTAAAAAACTTGTTTGGTGGCACCTGTTTTGTAAAAAACATTTTGAAAACTATAATTGTTTTTTTGTTTTTAGAATCAAATTTAGAGAACATGTCTAAGTTGTTTTTGTTTTCTGTTTTGTTTTTTAACTTTCAAAAAGAAAAAATATAAAAAATATCTGTTTTCATAACTATTTTACAAAACAGTTCTAAGAATAAAAAAAACAAGAAGACAATCAAACAAGCTCTAAGGTTTTAAACCCTCTTTCGAAAGGTGATACTGAAGAGGATCGAACATCTATTTTCACCTCAACTACTCAACACCCATATACCAAATGAGCTACTATTAATTGGGTTTTTAATCTAAGTCTTCATTGGAATTTCCGTCTCACAAACATGGTCACGGATTTTTGTTTTTTTCCCCTTCTTATTATTATGTTTTTCCGCTAGTGTAACAGTCCTAATTAACATGGCTATAACATAGAACAAAGAGGGACGGATTCCACCACGTGGCCTGCTCTCTCACAAATTTCCATTTTTTATTAATCATACGGTTGAGAATTTAAGTGTGAGTGAGAAAAAATCTCATATTAGGACGAAATGAGCTAAATATATTACATATAAGTAGCAAGACTCGTAAACCCAATACTTTAAGGTTTGAGTTGAGATATATTGTCAAAACCCTTAGTGTAAGTTTTTTGCTCAGACTCATTTGACGTGGACAATACTCTTCGTGAGGTTTGGTAGGGGAGAATTTTTGTTTGTTTGAGAATCTCGATTTTCAAAAATATAATTTTTACATTCAATTTACGATAATATCTGAAAATTTAAAATTTATAAAAATTCAGATTCTTAGAAATCTTAGAGAATGACGCGTACCAAACGGCCCCTTAGATTCATTTGATGTATAGATGGTACTCTACGTGAATGGTAATCTCTCATAATTGAACTTTTTTTTGGCTTTGGCTGCTACCCGACAGCAGCAGATGATTAATGACCTATCAAGTATTTGGAAATGATGAGTGGTTGGTATTCACAGTTGAAGGGGATATAAGAAAAAAATATAGAAATGAAAAATAGAGGAAGAGAATATGAGTCAAGGGAATATGCGTGAGACTTTATTCCATTTCATGTATCTCTTTATAAGTTTACATACAGTAACATGTATTTATAGATTAAAGAAGAATAGATAAATGGTTAATCACCATAAAGATGATATAAGTGGTTACACTACTCTTAATTGAAATACATAACTACAAGGAGACGAAAAAGTAGGAGGTGAAACATCCACAATTTCATTTCATAACATAAATATAACAATTAAATTTTTACTGAAAAAATACGTGCATAGTCCTTGTTGTTAAGATCCAATCGGATTGTCAAAATCAAAGTGAAGTGCAGAAGTTGCTCAAAAGGAGAGAAAAAAAATTAAATATTGTAATTTAAACAATAAATTACGATATTAATATTGCTTCCAAATATTTTACGCAATTAACGGTATCACGACCACGAGAACTTGTCATAGGATAGTTGCACATAATTCTTCTGTCAAATTAGTGGGCGCCAGGTTCATGCTCAACTAATTATATTAATGATGTAAAATATTTAAAAACGAAATTAATACCGTAATTTATTATTTAAATTGCAATATTTATTATTATTGATTTTTTTTTTTGCCTTGAAAGGGAGAATCATATAACTAGTTTTATTAAAACCAAACCGGTTATAAATCGGATTCAACCGAGGTTAATTCGACCTAAGGGGAGGGAAGTGATACGTTAATCACAAAGTTAAATCATTTTAGTTGTCCTATTATATATTTATTATATGTCTTTAATATAAATTTAATTCAAACGGTTCAACCAATGATTTATTAACTAGATTTCACGACTGAGTTGATGATTAGTCCGGTTTAATAACATTGATATAACATTAGATTTATCCAGGCAAACGATTAACTTGATAATGATACGCAATTCATCACAAAAGAAGACAAACTAAAAAAAGACTAAGAGCCCCTCAAATTTTTTTAGCTCTACAACAAAAGAGTTAATCACATAAGAGTGAGAAGATTTGAATTCCAAGTTCCAAAACTACAAAATTAAAAACCTCAGCAACACTGCATGCATGCCCTGCTAATTTGTTAAAAAGAACATTTACTTTGGAGTAGAAGCAGCCATCATGGCCCTTAGCATCTTAGAAAACTCAAGAAGCTTCCTTATCTCAGGCATAACATCTTTGACAGCATCATGTGCACAGAACCTTTCAGCCCATTTTGCCAGCTTAGGTGTGTTGGTCTGGTCCAGCAAGTTCACCCCATTGGATGTCTCTGTTACCCTCAGCCACCCTAAGAAGCTTCCAAGTGCAATATCCAGGAACCCAATTTGGTCACCACCGAAAAAGTCCTTCCCTTTGCTGCTTTTTTTAAAAGCATTCTCCAGCAAAGCCAATCCTTCTCCCACTTCTTGTAACAATCTCTTCCTCTCATCCTCTCCTTCTGCTCCTCTAATTGATCTCATGGCCGGGTACCACTGCAAAAATCACACCATTTCCACCTTTGAAATTTCATATTTCATAACTTGCACACAATGGAGGGAACTTATTTTATGATTTTTTTTTTCATGTGTGGATAATGGACGAACCCTTTTTATCTTGTGCGGAAATTTCTAAATTTTTATTTGTAGAAAGGAAATTAATGATTGAACTCTAAACCATTTGGTTATATACTTTAATATTATGTTACGAATCAACTTTCCCAAAATATCTTGAGGTGTTAAAGGGATCAATGAATGATTCTATTATATTTTTGGATAAAACTAATTTTATGTTGCATAAGATAGTATATACTTATGTTGTAAAACAAAATTAAGGTGGATCCCCTCTTGATTTTTTTTCTTTTTTCTTTTTTAGTGGATCTCACCTTGATTTTATTTCACAACATGAGATACAATATCTTATGCAAGATAAGATTAATTTTACTCTATATTTTTAAATAAAAACCTTGACGCAACAATTGTTATTATTGCCCTTATACTAGGAGGTCACATGTTTTAGTATTATAATTAGCATATTTTTAATCTAAATACTGCTTATTCTAGACTCACATAATAAATGACCCTTTTGTGAGCTTAGTAGGACTAACCTGCCACTTTTTTTATCTTGCACATGAGAAAGAATGTAATTTTCAATTTTGGTTGACACTATTTCTTCTATTCACTATACTAAAAAGTAAAAACTTTCTTAGATTTATTAAAGGGTCTTTATTTTATCATGTTACATGATGTCATGCAACACTAAAAGACAAAAAATAAAAATAATAAAAAAATATGATAAGACACTTTGTTCAATAATTTGGTTTTGTCTTATCTTAACATAACCAAATTATTTTTCCTACAACATAACTCTTATTTATCCCTTTATTAAATGTGGCATATGGACAATGGTTTTATCTCTTCATTCTAGTTTGAGTTTGGTTTGATGAATGAAGGATGAAAGTAATTTTCAACCACTAATCAGCAAACAAATATCAATGACATATAAATGTCAGAGAACAAGACATGGGATTAACAAAAATTTATACCTTATCATCAATGTAGGTAGCCCAAAAGCGAGCAATGGCGCGGTCATAAGGATCAGAAGGGAGAATAGGAGAGCCAGAGGACCAGGCATCATCCACATACTGCACAATGACCAAAGACTCGCAAATGGGTTTGTCCCTATGAATGAGAACAGGGATTTTCTTATGAACAGGGTTGGATTGAAGAAGAAGCTCACTTTTGGACCTCAAATTTTCTTCAAGAAACTCATACTCCACTGATTTGATATTAAGAGCTATCCGAGCCCGCATTACAAATGGACTTGGCCATGCTCCCAACAGCTTCACCTCACTCTTTGTCATGATCTCTTCAGGAATAATATTATAACCCTCTAACTTGGTCTTGCTGTATGGATGACTATAAATTAAATAGAAGAATGGACCAATGGCCACAAGAAGATTAGTTGATGTAGGGGTTTTAAGAGGTTAGTTAGTTCATAACAAAAACATGGAATGCTAGCTAGATGAAGTTGTGTACCAAACCACCAACCACCCACTAGTTTTACTAGACTTACTTGCTGGTCCACTTTTATTAAGTGCACTATATATTTAACACAGTTGTATCAATAGGGATGGCAAAAATGAGCCAACCCGTCGGGTTGGCTCGTAACCCGCACAAAACGAGCCGGGTTGGGTTGGCAAAAATGAGCTGCCAGCTCGATTTAGCCCGACCCGAGCCAACCCGAGCTCAAATGAGCCAGCTCGCGGGTTACTCTTTTTTTTTTTTTTTTAATAAAATACAATGGACTTTACTGTTGGATTCTCCACTGATGGACTTTACTATATTGGTCGCTTTTGCAGGTCCTTTTTTTTCATGATTGGCTTTTGATTCTAGATGCTTATCATTGAAATATATAATGGATTTCTTTTATTTTTTATTTTTTGGCTTTACATACGTTTTATGGTTATCGTGAGTTAGAGTAATTCAGAAAATCATGATAAATGACTCCTGTGATTCGTGGAGTGGTTTGTGTTTCATTTAATGTTTTTGGATTTTGTAAACTACTCTACTTGTAGTTGGACTGCAAAATACAATAATTTTATACAGGAGAACAAACCACAAAAATTAAATTTTTTGAGCCAACCCGTGAGCCAATATTTTGAGCTAACCAACCCGCGAGCCAACCCACTAGCATCATTTCGAGCTAACTCGTGAGCTTTTTTACGAGCCAACCCGCGAGCTGATTATCGAGCCAACCCGCGAGCCAACCCTAACCCGGCTCGGGTCGAGCCGGGTTGGGTTTTCTGGCTCGTTTTTTTTTCGAGCCAACCCGACCCGACCCATTTTTTTCGGGCTGAATGCGGGTTGGGCCGGGTCGAGCCGGGTTGGCCTGTTTTGCCAACCCTATGTATCAATCCCTTACTTTTGGATTCATGTGCTTCGTGGTTAATGCCAGGGTATTTAAATGCATAATCATCATGGTACATCATTCGGAGTCTCTGACATTCAGACAAAAAAATGGCAAGGAGAGGTTAGTAGATTTTGTGATTCAGAAGGTTACACGATGCTGATCTCTTCATATTTCACGAATTTGACACATGAAAGTTTGGTGAGGAAAATTAATTTTCCTTTGGAGGTAGCTGTATCCGTCTACCACGCTGGTAAATTCTTAGATATCCTACCTGTATTATATGTAGGGACATGTTATTTTTACAAAATTTTTTGTTTACAAACTCTTATAAATTACACTAAGTACGACAGTGGTTATACTTTATTCATGCAGTGTACGACCGGTCGTACTTAGTGTAATTTGTAAAAAAAATTTGTAACCAGATCATATCTCTTGTATGTAATAACAGTAGAGCACCAATTTTAATATCAAATTAGTTTTAATTTTTTTTTTATCAGTCGTCAAACAATAATTTTGTAATCACAATGAACAGTTACTTTTGAATAGTTCGATTTTGGAAAATTATTTTTCTACAACTAAATTAATGTTCCGAAAATCTTTTGACGAACATTAGAATTTACTCAATCTAATTATTTTGATAACTTTTTTAAATTCATCTAATGCTTTATAATTTTTTAGGTAATGATCTTATACTTTATATTTAATTACATTAATTGTTATGTACCATACTATACACCCCGAATATTAGGGTTTTTCGGTGAGCTACGGCAAATATGTATTCTTCATTTCAACGTACAAACTCGCTTAAAAATCCATTTAATTCATGAATCCCATTTTGCTAATCATTTCTATGTATAAATTATAAATATACTCTATATATAGCCTATAAAAGCATGCCGATTTAATTAAAAAGTTATTTTCTCAGGATAAAAAGGTTTTTTTCTTTAATATTAGTTAAAAAAATTATTAAATAAAACGCAATAATTAAGATTTTTATGAGACATTTTTAGACTTTATTGTGAGGACATTCAGTTGATTGTGCACCTAGATTTTGCACTTGTTGTGGCAGGCTGGTAAATAAATTAATAGATTAAAAATGATAATACAATCATTAGAAATAAGATTTTAGCCCATCCACATTTGGTAAAGGAGATCTAATCTGTAATCAATCATAGCACCAAAGTATCAATTTATTTATTGAATGACTACAACTTTAAGTCACAAAATCCAGCACACTCGTATACCTTTCATAATCCATAATCCAACTCACATTCTGAATACATTTGTTTTTCGCTTTACATAATTATAAAGGGTTCTCTTTTCTACACTCAATGTAAATAAGTTATCTACATTAAGCTTAAAATGATGTTGTTTTGAGACGGAAATTAAGGTATTTTTGTAATTATAATTTATTTCAGAGTTATAATAGTATTTTTCATTATATATTTTTTAATTTTTCAATGCAGAACAACATCGCTTATGGAGTGAATGTAGACAACTTATCTACATTCACTGTAGAAACATTAAAGCCAATTATAAAAGCTACATATAAAAGTAAAACAGAAAAATTCTCCATTACTTGTTTCATGTGAGAAGTAATTTAACTGTTTTGAGCAGTCATCACGCCAAAGGGACTCAACCCAAATCTTTATAGCTCTATCCATTGCTCTCCAATGTTTCTTTTTTTTACTTTTGGTGAATTTTGCTCTCTAATGTTTGTCAACACCCAGAAACATGAATATGCTATATATAAGCATTTTACAGAGTTCACTACAAATTGACTCGACATATCTGAAATGCTAGAGGTTTACCATGTCTTCTACACATCCAAAGTCTACCTTGTGAATTTTTTGAATTAAGTTAACAACTTTAGTTCCTAGGAATTGGATGTTTTTACTAAAGTGAAACTTCAATGCCAAAAGAAAAAAATTCAAAAACTACAATTAATGCCTTTTCCAAATTGCAAGTGTTATTCAAAACCTATCAAAAGCACAAAACTAAAAAGACAAGGAAAATAGGCTCAATCACTTTGTCAAATGATGAAACTAAAAAATTATATTAGAGTAAAATAATGGAGACTAGCTCTTTACAAAATTAATTGCGGAGAAATAAACCAAAAGACCCTGCCTCACCCTAGAACCAACACACCTAGGTTCCAAGAGATCTCCAATTCCCCCATTATTCACTTAATTCATGTTAACCCCACTCCACCCATTCCCCTTTCTTTTATCCTATCATCTAAGAATATCTAGAAAAATCTCCTAACTAACTAACTCCTTTTCAAGCCCATCAATACTCCTCTAAAACTCACATTGTCCTCAAGGTGAAGAAAGAAGATAGGTAATATGAGAATTTCCATTGGGATCCTATTGTTCGAAGCATATAGACCAAGTTATGATTGAAGTGAAAAAACTGCCATTGCCGAATTCCTTTCTCACCTTGCCTCTATTTTGCAAGAGTGTTCAATTTCCTAAACATATTGGAATTGAATGCTTGACCACCAGACACATGGATGTGGTCGAATTAAGATCATATTTTCAAAGTGCGATGGTTATACCAATAATTTAACAGAGATTGTGTATAATAGAAATTTTCTTAACCAGTGAACTTGCATCCTTAGGCACTCCAAACTCATATTCGACTATTGCAAATTCTTGAATTTCTGACCAAAGAGCTTTAGAACTTATATTCATACACAAAGGTTGAGTCTTTCTTAAAGATGCTCTACCTTTCTATCGTACTTGCCCTTTAAAATGTTTTCCTCAAGACCGATGCCCTGCATGTTCCTCCCTGCGTACTCCTTGATTAAGCACCCTGTGACCGTTGTCTACTCCTTCTTTGAATAACCCCTCATTCTTTACGTAGGTTCGCCCACCCCCAAGAACATAACATTGAGTGTTGATTCTGACATATACGATCAGGTGAAAATGGTGTGTCATAGCAAAGCATAAGTATCTTTGTCTTTTATCGTTCCGCTCCTCGAGCAACAGCTGTCGGAATCTCACTCCTTTGTTCCCTATCACTATGCTAAGGTTTTGATTAGTCATTGTGGTTCCCCTATCTTTGGAGGCAATCCCTTCAGATTGAAGCCCTTAAGTTTGGTTGTTTGCAAAATTCCATACTTATCCTCTAACTAATAAGAAATTAAGTGAACCTAGGGTGAAATTACCATTTTGCCCTTTAGCCATAGGTGGGCCTTGCCCATATCTTATTTCATTATTCCCATTAGTAGGTCATACTTCAGTATTTTCTAAGGCCTGATTAGGTAGGATTGCCCTTGTAGGACTCACCCCTCTAAATCCTGACCTATTATTTGTTTCGTCCAGCCACAAACCCAACACATTCCCTTGTCTTCTTCCTTTCTTCCACCCTTTGTGCAAGGGTAATTATTCTTCCATTGGAATCCAAAATATTATTTTCGTCGGACTAAGCTTCTCAATGCCCAACATGTAACACCCGACCGATTTACCTAACCGGAATACTACACAAAAATGGTATATATGCGCACTTAATTTAATAAGAATAGCAGAGGACTTCCTATAAGTATCACAATAGTTCTCTTGAAACTACGTGACTAATTAAAAATTTTCCTTTGTATCCTTTATGTTCGTATCATTGTAATAAACTATACAGCCCCATAACTGCATAGAATTAAAACTTAACACCAAATCGTAACAATTATCAATTTAGTAAAAATGGACAACATAACCTCTATTTATCGGACTATTCAAATTCTCAAACTTGATATCCAGACATAACCAATACATAACAAATTCATATTAATATCTTCAGAATCTATCCATGGATTCCTACTTACTTTCAACAAATTTGAAACATACAAACATGCTTTGTTGTACGTAACATATCCAAACCTTTGACTACAAAATCTCAAATCAATTATATTGTTGTACCAACAATATCTTCAACTTAAATACATGATTTATCCGAAACATAGGCATATACGCATAATCCCGAACGTTAGTCAATCGCGCTGCT